CAGTGTCATACTTCCAGTGCTTCTGTGGCTGGCTGGTGCTTCCTTCTCTCAGCTTCTCTGGTCTGCCTCACCTTCACAGCCATAAACCTTCACACAACAATACCCAGGGAAACCCCTCACCCTCCAGGCGCACTGCATAGGACTTTGTTTTGGGCAGTAACATTTGCCTGTGTACTGAGCAGAGGCTGTTATTGTTTCAGCTAGGTGGTTCCATGAAGGAGTTTAACTGTTTCTTAATCTACCCCAAATGAAGGGTGGTTGTTCTACCCACCAGTTTCAATGAGAATTAACCCAAACCATAACACTACACAATAAATAGGCAAGTATTTTGCCCTTCGTGTATGGATGTAGTAAGACTTGCCATCTGCCAGTAACTCCTACAGTGTGTAAGCAACTCAAAGGGTATGCACTGCAGCTGGGAGCATGCCTCCTAGCCCCCATGGACAGGCTCCAGCTAGCATGCTAAAAATAGTAGTGTGGACATTACAGCTCCGGCAGCAGCTCTGGCTCTCAAGACAACCCATTCCCTTGGGTCTGAGTTTGAGTGGCTAGCCTGAGTCTGTGCCAGAATCGCAATGTCCACGCTGATATTTTTAGTGCACTAGCTCAAGCCAAGCTAGCAGAAGTCAGTCTACCCAGTGTGGGAGCCGGAGGCTTGTTCCCAGCTGCTGTATAGACATATCCAAAGAACCAATGCAAAATACATTTATTTCAATTCCATAATCAGCTGTACTATTAATGACACTTCATGTCCGTGTCTGATTAACTTAATGATTTGAGAAAAGATGGGCCACGTTATATGAGTCGAGTAAAAAAATAAAAGTACTGTAACTCTGCTGTCTTACCTTGCCCTTGTAGGATAACCTCTTGCAATAATTAAGGGGGAGGGAGGAAATCAATTCTACTGTCAATTGTCATTAATAAAAAGCTTGAAGGGTTGAAATCTCAGCAATTGTTCCTAATTTAAAACCCCTTTCTTAAAACTGGATTTTAAATTAAATAACCCCTTAGCAGGACTAGGGGGAAATTGTCAAGGCCCCTTAGTAGGGATTTATCTTTCCCAGAGAAAGCAAGTAGGGTATAACATAGAGGACAAGCGCTTGTCATTATATTACAAGTGCTTTTCCAAGAGTCTAGAGGTTTAAAATGCTAACGTACAGGTATCAGACAATTTAACCACAGCCATCAATGTAAGAAGTGGTTTGTTAGGTACCTCATATTCAATGTAATTAGGAGATGTTACTCCTATTAACATTCACCTACTAGGAAAATGATTCTGTACTCCTATTCACAGGCTGCATGAAAGCTACCAATCTGATCTCAACTTTTACTACTTTTTTAAACACAGGCATGCTGCTTTTTCCCTTCTTAATATTGTATGCATTGTTATGACCGGGGGTCAGGGTATAGTTGCTGGAACTAGGGTTGCTGGGAATGCTGCACTCCTTGGCTTGACGTGGTTTCCATCATATACAAGGTTTACAGTTTGGTGCAATGGCTCTCAGCACCCCCCACTATACAAAGTGTTCCAGTGCCCCTGCAGCAGGGGCTCCCTCAAGTCCCCTCCAGAACCCACTTCTGCTCCTTTATGTCTTCTGCCCCCAACAGACACCCAAGGGGTGTGGGGGGGTCTTCAATCAATTAAACAAACAAAAGAAAAGTCCTTTCCCCTCTGGTTTCCCTTATGAAAGAGAGGAGTCCATAGAAAAACAAAGAGAAGCAAAGGTAACAGTCTTCCTGGGCTAGCCCTTTAGGCCTAGTCTAAAATGGGGCCTACTTCCAGCCCTTCCTTCTGGATCATGTCACTTTGGGAGCAGTGAGGCCTACCACTGCCTTCCTCTCAGCACAGCTGTCTCTACTGTCTGAGGCAGAGCAACCATCTTCCTATTCATCACCCCTTCCTGCGGCAGGTTATCCCTTTTAAGCTCCCCCATCCAGGCAGAACAAGCCTTGCAGGTGTGCCTTGGTGATGTCGAACAGGCCCACAGGCACTCATTAGCCTCTTCTCTGCCAGAGCGAGGAGATGTCCCTTCACAGTGACCTATACAGTTCCAACATTGTCTTCCTTGTCTGTAACGCACCTCGCACACAGATCCTTGCCTCAAGGAGCTTGCCGCCGTCTAGATTAATAGTCTTATTTACTCTGGCATCAACCTGAAGCTATACAGCTGCAGCTGCCTCCCGGCCAGTATCATGCTCTCGATCTAGTCTCAGAGGACAGTTGCACAATCTCGCACCTTCTCATTCTCCCACCTAGGAAGGCAATTTTTCCTTTTGCTTTGCAATTTCAAATTGAATGAATATAACAGATTATAATTTTGATCCAGTACGGGTTTTGTTATTTTGGAATTTCTGAAGCATAATGGCATAAACAAGATAAATAAAGTAATTATTTGCAATGGCAACTAATGCAATATTAATTGCACTAAGTGGATTTTAGATTAAACAGATACAATTTACAAAATCGTTAGACCCTCTAGCTACTCATGGCAAATCAGACATTGCATCTCATCCTGCTGTTAATATTTTCCAGTAAAGAAAAATGACATATCCTGTGATCCCTTTGCTCCAGATTCTACAGACATGGCTATGATTCACTATTCACAAATTTTATTTCAAATGCACTTTAACATCATAAGTGCTGAAACTCACAAGCCTTAGTGAGGCACCATAGTATAGTGGTAAGGGAACCAAACAAGAGCCAAAACACTTGGGTTCTACTCCTGATGCTGCTACTGAAAGGCTGTGACTTGGGGCAAGTCACTTCAGTTCTGTGCCTCAGTTTCCCCACCCTCTATTTAAATGGTAAGGTCTTGAGGGTAGAGAATTTCTCACTGTTTATAAAGTATTCATCACAATGGGGTCTTGATCTCATTTGGAGCCATTAGATGCCATTGTAATACAATAATCTCTGGATGCTTGTAATAACCAGGCTGCTCAAACATAAGGTAGGGGAGATATCAAGGGAGACACTTACAAAAATTAGCTTAACTACAACTCACTAATTCAACTTTTTGCATAAACTGACCAGCCAGGCATCGTCACCATGTCATCTATCTTGATTCTGTGTCATGCTTAAACATGATAAAGTTTCTTACCAAAGACACAACGAAGTAGTATGTAATCAGCTGGTTTAACTGTTTTTAGGGAGGCTTTAAACCTTCTATTCTCCCCTTGGGGTATATGGACCCTGATTGTCACATATAGTGTGTTCTGTCACTGTCTCCTTGGATGTCCATAGCCTCTCTCTCCGTGTACTCTTCTATAAAGAACAACTTTAGGCAGTTGGTCATTCTGGCAACATGGAAAAACCACTGTCACTGGAGTGTTTTAATGACTGAAGCCATGCACTGTGCTTTCAACCTTCTACTGAGGTCATCATTTGTTAGTCCATCTAGCTTTACCATTCATAGAATGCCTCATTCAAATGGCTGCAGCTTTTGCTCTAGATGCTTTGTCAGTACCCACATTTCACAACTGTAGAATAAAGTGGGTACAATGAGCATTGTATGTAATTGGGTCTTAGCTTTCATGGATGGGACTCTTCCCATTGGTATTAAGGATAAAGAACAAGTTTCCTTGGTTCCGAGTAATGCCGATTAAATGTCATTGGGAACTTAATTCCTTATTGTCCCAGAAAGGGAAGGTGATGCTGGCATGTCAGTGTGGGGGCACCAGGTTTCCCAATCTGAGCTCAGTAACTTATTAGAGACAAGCCAGAAAAGCAAGTCAGTTCTAAACTGCAACAGTTAACACTCCTGGAAACTAAGGGACCCCCATCCTTCTCCCAGTGAAATCAAGTTGCCATTAACTCCAGCAGGAGCCTGTTGTGCTAGCATGTCTGTGCATGTCTGTGTTGCATTGTGCAGGAGATCCTGTATGTACTATCCATGGGGTGCAGGCAAAGTTGGATCCCACTGGACAGAGCAAAAATTTTTACCACAAATTCCACTGCCTATATGGAGAACCAGAATTTGGTCCACCAAACAAAAGGTGCTCTATGCTTCCAGCTACCAGATTTTTGTGACCCTGTTGCACTGAGGTCTGAATGTGTTTGCTCTAGGAGCAGTTATACCTATGCTCTATATAGGCGTTAGAATTTTGAGAGCATCCAAGAACTGTCAGCTACTCATTCCGGGTTTTTGCTGCACACGTGGATACAGCAAGGTCCAGATATTTTGTGCACTGGTATCAGGTAATTCCCGTCCGTTTTGATAGTACAATTTAAGGACGGCGGGGGAGGGGAGGGGGAGAAATAGCTGGCAGAATCCAGGTTTTACAGCTATAAAATCCTGCTCTTACCTCTTTCCCTGTCCTTGCAACAGGTGCTCCCCCCCCGCCCCAGCTCTACTCCTTGGGAGAGCCATGCAGACTTTCCCTGCGCAACTGCGGTTGGATCAGCCTCTTTAAATCAGCACTCATCTTTGCTGTCCTCCCCCTTCCTCACGTGCATGCCTGCTGGGGTGGGGGAGATCGGGGCTTCTCCTCTACAGGAATCAGGTCCCGGACAGCTCCCCTGTTAACTTCGCTCCATTGCTGTGAGCGCAGCTGGGGACGGGAGGGAGGCGGTAGCCGACCTGGGGAGAGGGGAGGAGTGGAGCAGAGGAGCTGGAGCAGAGCGGATTGCACTCAAAGCTCCCAGTGCATCCGCAGCCCTCTGGCATGTGCTCCATTCTCTAGTCCCTCTGCCTCTGGCACATCACCGCCAGCTGCTGCTGCTGGGGCCCCTGCACTCTCAACAGCAACCAGGAGCTGGGTCAGAGCCTGAACAGAGCCCCAGAGAAGAAACCCCCAGGAGCCCAAACACTGCAACTGGAGGAACCTCCCTTCTCTTCATCCCCTGAAGAAAGGGTCCAGGCACAGACAGGAGGAGAGAGCTCTTTGAAGCAGGGCCACTGAGCACCAAATAACTCAGACAGACTGCCACTGTGGGCACCAGGAGTGGTCCCTAGCAGGCACCCCGGAGGATCCAGTCTCTCCCCTGGACCTACCCTGGCTCCATGGAGGAGGAGGAGGCTGTACTGTCTCCCAGGGCTAACAGCACTGAGTGCAGCGTCGGGGCTAACTGGACAGGCTCCCCCGTGTGTTGGCTGCAAGTGTCTGGGGGTGGCCCAGAGGTAGTGATTGTGCCTGTGCTCTTCGGGCTGATCTTCCTGCTGGGCATGGTGGGGAACACACTGGTGTTAGTGGTGCTGGGGCGAATCCGATCCGGGGGACGCCCTTCACGCAGCGCCACCAACATCTTCATCCTCAACTTGAGCATCGCCGATTTCTCATTCCTGCTCTTCTGCGTCCCCTTCCAAGCCACCATCTACTCCCTGCCAGAGTGGGTCTTCGGCGCCTTCTTCTGCAAGTGGGTTCATTACCTGGCCATGGCCTCCATGCTCGTCAGCATCTTCACCCTAGTGGCCATGTCTGTGGACAGATACATCGCCGTGGTGCACGCCAAGCGCTCGCCCTGCATCCGCAGCAAACGCAATGCCTCCCTGGGTGTGGGCATCATCTGGCTGCTGTCGCTGCTCATTGCCATCCCCGTGGCCCAGCACCAGGCCCTCATGAGTGGCCACCAGCAGGCACCCAACAGCTCCTTCTGCTGGGAGCAGTGGGCTGATGATTCAGCTGCCAAGCAAACCTACAAGGTGACCATCCTGGTGATGGGGTACCTGCTGCCCCTGGTGCTCATTACCTGCTGCTATGCCAAGGTGGGTGAAGGGAGAGGAGGGGGAGGTGGGTGGCGGCCTTATAAGGGGTTCCAAAATTGCCAGTTTCCCTTACTTCCTACACCAGGACTCATGATCAGTCCATCCACCCCATGTTCCTGATGGATGGAAATAACCCCCACCACTCCTTGTTCCTTTCCTAAAGCTGAGGATACCAATTCCACACCAGGTTGGGAGGGGATGAAAAGAGGGGAGTGGGCAAAATTGGGGTAGCATAACAGATCTCCAAATATTTATTTGCCTATTCCCTCCCCAGGATTGATGGGTGAGGGGATTGGAACAATCCCCGCATATGCCTTCTCCAGGATTGATGGAGACTCATCCCTTACCAGCCACCCTAACTCCAATGCTGATTCTTGTAGCTTTACAATCGTTTTCCTACTTTTGCAAAATGTTCCTCCCTGTGTTGCTGGGTGAGACCCACAAAAAAAGGGAAATACAGTTAAGAGCCTTTTTCTCAGACCGTTAAATTAAAGTATTAGGTAACGCTTCCAATAAAAGTGACTTAAGTTGATGTCCCTTTAAGATTAACTGAATATTCTACCAGTATAACAAATTTTCTTTTAAAATGTAGGCTTGAAATTTCAGTAATAGGATTTACATTAGAAAGAGGCACTTAACTCTTCTACTGTGTTTATACTGAAATCTCTAATCTCTGTCCTTGTGTGTGTGAGGGAAAAAAAGCCCTAACATACAAACATCTTTCAATAAAGTGCTTAGCTTCCCCTTAAATTGATGCTGGTTTCTTTCCAGTTCATTGCTTATGGTGTGTGTACTGGCAAATGGCATGTGAACAACATTTAATAGATGGATTTTCTTATAAATAATTGATTTAGGTACGTTAGTCTCCTGGCTCCAATAGCCAGAATATAATAATTGCCTAGTTACAGCAGTGCTGTAATTGTGTTTTAAAAGGTTAATTTAAATTCTGTTAGAGCACTGAATGGAAATTATCTTCTTAATAGTTTGTTTTGTTTTTTTATGGTCCTACATCTCTTTGAAGTCAGAACCTACAGGTATGTCTACATTTAAAATGCTACAGCTGCTGTAGCACTTCAGTGTAGACTCTATCTACGCCAACGAGAGGGGTTCTCCCCTCGGCGTAGGTAATCCACCTCTCCAAGAGGCAATAGCTAGGTCAATGGATGAATTCTTCCATCAGCCTAGCACTGTCTGCCTGGGGACTTAAATTGGCTTAACAACGCAGCTCAGGGGTGTGGATTTTTCACACCCCTGACCAACGTAGTGAAACTGACCTTATTTTCTAGTGTAGACCAGACCTAGATAAGTAACTTTAAATTCAAGTTACCACTTCAGAGTGCCCAGTTAACAGTTATGCAGTAAGTGCCCTATACTGACTGGATACACTGGATATACTGGATACTGACTGGATATACTGACAGTGGGGTACTGACCATGTTACATCTTGATGGGACGTAGAAACGTAGTTGAGTTAACCTGATCCAAAGTCCATCGAAGCTGATGGAAACACTGCCATGGACTTCAACAAGCTTTGGATCAGGCTGTTTACGTATAATGAGCAACTCCCTGTCCAAACTTAGCTTTTTTCCATAATTTTCCCCAGGAAACAAGCTTTTAGAAGAAACAGTAAGGGTTAAAATCTGGAGCTGAAAATTTCAAAATGTATTTAATAAAGCATTGAAGTAGACTTTTGTTGAAATCTAACATCTTTACAAATCAGTTCTTTTCATTCTCAAATGTTTCTACAAGTTGCAAATCGATATACAAACACACACAGCATGTAATAGCATTTGTGCATGTGGCGTCTGCCGCTGAATAGTTTATTTTTATTTTGTTTAGGTTTTATACCATCTTCATAAAAAAGTGAAGAACATTTCCAAGAAGTCGGAGAGATCAAAGAAAAAGGTAAAATAAAAACACTTCCTTAAGTCTGTGGAAGCAATTAATTATAAACTTTACTTCTATCATACCCTGAATATAGTGTAATACATAGGACAGATCTTTAAACTGACTAATGGCTCTATATGCTATACCTGTGATTAGACTGGGGCAGTCCAGGAGCACAGGTGAGAAAAGAGGGAAGGGGCAGGAGCAGAGAAGATCAGAGCTCCACCCACTGGAGTGATATTGTCAGCATTTCAGCAGGGCCGCCAGAGGATTCAGGGGGCCTGGGGCAAAGCAATTTCGGGGGCCCCTTCCATAAAAAAAAGTTGCAATACTATAGAATACTATATTCTCGTGGGGGGCCCTGCGAGGCCCGGGGCCTGGGGCAAATTGCCCCACTTGCCCCCCCGGGTGGCCCTGCATTTCAGTAGGTGAATGGGAGGATCAGCCGCCTCACTGCTGGGCTATACACAGTGCAAGGCTGTGGCTTCACCTGCCTCCCTCCTTCCTGGAATTCCCTGAAAAGGCAGTAGCAGGAGTCAAGCTCTCTTTATTTGCTGGGAAGCTGAAAGGAGAAATGAATGGGGGGTCCCCATCCTCCCCCTGGGTCCCTGGAGAGGATTGCAAGGAGCAGCAGAATTGCAGACCTGACAGGACTCTCTCCCTCTCTTTCCTTCTGAATTCACTGGTGTTGCAGCAGCAGGAGACAGGCTTTGTTCTCCTGTCAGAAAGCTGAGGATGGAGTGACTGGGAGATCCATTCTGCTTGGAGGAGCATTCCCATATTGATAATTATATTAAGGATAATCCCCTACAAGATATATCCCTGGAAACTAGGTGGGAGGCCTTTACATCAGAATAAGGGGATACACACAGCTCTCATATTTGCCAGCCAAAGGCTTTATGAATGAGGGAACAAATTTGGCAGATTACTAGTCAGACTGGTTTCCAACAGAAGATCCAGAACAGCCTTAAGGACAAAAAATGGAATACTCAAAAAACAAGGGTTATTAACGAAGTGCTAGTGGAATATTCCCGAGAGAGAAATACTAGCACATATGCAAACATGGAAGAACTAGGAGCATGTATTGCAGGATTTTAAAATGCCCAGACTGACACATAATGAAAGAGTAGTACTACATGGCCCAACAACACAGGAAGAAATAAAGATGGTAATCTCATCACTAAAATCGGGGGGAAATCCTGGACCAGATAGATTCACATTGAATTCTATAAAATGTTTAAAACATGGGTAACTCCATTGTTAGCAAATGTATTTCAGTCTTCCTGGTCAACAGAGTGCTTACAAAATACCTTCTATCAAGCAGATATAGTTTTGATACCTAAACAAAATAAGAACTTATCAGATCAAGCATTTTACAGGTTCATTTCTTTAAACATAGTACTATTTTAACTAAAATATTAGCATCCAGATTAGAGACAATTATGCCTAAATTAGTACATCAAAGCAAAACTGCCTTTATAAAAAAGGAATAAGCCCCTTAAATAACATAGACAATTCCTACATGTGGTATAGCGTTCCAAGAGTGCTAATAAAGATGCCTGCATTCTAACTATGGATGCAGAAAAGGCTTTTAACTTGGTAGAACACCCTTTTTTGTTTAGAAATACGGTTTTGGCGAACACTTTCAGAAGTGGGTTGAAATCTACAAAAATCCTGTAGCATGTATTTGGGGAAATACCAAAAAGGCTCCATTGATACCATTCTACAGAGAAACAAGACAAGGGTGTCCCTTATCACTCTTATTATTTGAGGGGCATTGAAGAAATTCAGGCAATCAGTGTTCCGGGAACAGAAAACAAAATTTCATTATGCTGATGACCTTATGCTTTTTATACAAGATATAAATAAAAGTTGGCTAGTATCACAAGAAATAATCAAAGCTTTTGGTTAGGAATCAGGATACAGACTAAACTACTCCAGATCAGATACTATGCCTGGGCTTCAGAAGATACCCAATAAATGATAAATCCCCACAGAAAAGTAGTGGATGATACATTAATTACTAAATATGTAATTTTAATCACCTTAAGTGGAGTGAGGGGGTATTAAATCAAATATTGAGTCATTAATGAAAATTATTTAAAAAGACTTAGAAAGGTAGGCATTACCATTGACTTTGACGGGTAGAGTTGTGTATTTTAAATGAATATCCTGTCCAGGGTCTTGTCTCTTTTTCCCCCCATGGTTCCCTTTACACCTCCCAAAAATTTAGTCAGGAAATTTTAAAAAATACCTATTCAAAGATTCCTGTGGTCAAACTGGAAACCAAGAATCAAAACAGAATGGCTGGAACGTCCTTGGTGCTACCAGACTTCAAGAGATATTATAGCACACATTAGACTGATACAGGAAGGGATTTCACAGAGAAAATCCATCACGAATACAGATAGAACAGAAAATGGCAAAACCCAATCTCACCTAATTGTGTGCTGGACTCTTATCCCAAAATTCTAGCACCAATGAAATATCACTCACTACTTAAAAGTGCACTGACTAATTGGGCATATGTGAGGCACTTGACCAAACAAAAATACCAAAAATAAAAAATAGAGCTTTCAAAGCCACGTTGAATCAGGAAGATTTTAGATATTGGGGCAAATATCCATATAATAAGTGGAAGGATTTCTTTATAGATGGGCAACCCTTAAAACAAACAGATGTTGCTGATATATTTTTTGAAAAAGAATGTGCAATCTGAGTTTACACAGAGTGCTTACTTTATTAAACACTTTTAGAGAAGAAAGGAATCAACAACATTATCTGTATTAGAAATAAATTTATATACAAGCTTGAAGTCTCAGCAATCCTTATGTCTACACCAGGGTTTTCCTCAACCTTTGAGTCATGCCCCACCTTAGCTTTTTTTTAAACTTAGAGTCCCTCCCTTATAATAGAGAGAAGAACATTGCTATCTGGTGTTGCTAGTGCATTTGTTCAGGAGATAATGGGAAAATTACTCAAAATGCAAGTCAAACGGTACTATAAAAGCACTCTTTACCTGCATTAGTGCTGCCAATGTCAGCCAATGAGAAATCTGAGTGTGTGGCATTGCATATAAAATGATGGGGTCTAAATTAGCTGTTACCACTCAAGAAAGAGATCTTGGAGTCATGGATAGTTCTCTGAAATCATCCACTCAATGTGCAGCGGCAGTCAGAGAAGCGAACAGAATGTTGGGAATCATTAAGAAAGGGAGAGAGAATAAGACAGAAAATATCATATTGCCTCTACATCATTTTATGCCACTGGTATAATTATAGTGGAAACTCAAAGTTTATGAAGGCTTAAAACAACATTCTAGTTGAGTTTTAGACCCGTAGCTCGGCATTTCTACTGATTCAGACAAAACCAGCCGCTGTCCCACCAGTACATAATTTGAAGCTATTGCAGAGATTCTGCCAGTCCTTTATGTGAATAAATTGTTGAGTTGGGGCTTTAATACACAACCATCATAACCATTTTCATTTAACTATATGTAGCACTTATTATTTCCATTATATATAGCTACTGTTTTCCATATTTTGTGTTCAGTAGCAAACTCACTTCAGGGAAACTTCAATCTGTTTGGGTACTGTATGTGCACTAGACAACGCTGGTCCATGATTAGAAAACAACTCTTTCTACTTAATAGAGCACCCCCATTATCTTACCTGTGTTCAGCTACGTTGGTTTAAGTGCTGAAAGACTGAATTTTCTGGCCTGCCGTGACTGGACATCAGAGGTCAAATTCTTCCTTAGTGTAACTCCATGGTTCAACCTATTTCCTTTCACATAATGGATTGGAATTAAATTGTATCACATCCTATCGCAAATTGAGCAATTGCCACTCTCCCATCTGCGGTGAGAGATTTCTCCAGTTACACTGATTTAGGTTTGTGGTTTGCTCCTTCTTGATATGAAACTGCATGAATTATCTGAGCAAAAACTTAAGACCCATGGCTTATCTCCTGCCCATTGTCAAGGAGGAATACTGGGTATGAAGGGATAGACCTCCACCTTGCAGGAGGAAAGGTGCTGACTGTTCACAGCCCAAAGAGACTGAGAATTGGAAAAAGCTTGTATCAAGTCAGTGTTACGTATATGTGGTGTTTATTTGCACTGCGCTATTGCCTAGGGGCCCCAGTGTAGCTAGGTGCTGAACGTACATGCTCCCTACCCCAAACAGTTTACAATCCAAGTCGAATTAACTTACTTGTGTAGACATTTACCCCTGTTATGTGTGAAACTGTGCAGACTTGAAGGGGTACCAACTGCATCCAGGTTTGAAAATGTAATGCTGAGTATAAAATGACATAAACTTATCCTCTAGAAATACTGTAATATACACAACCAGTTTCCTGGGAATTCTGTTTACCTGCTGGTTGGTAATGATCTTAATCTTCCTAAAGTGAAGCTAAGGAAGATCAGTAACTATATTAGAATAATTCTCTTTGGGATCTTTGCCCTCCCCCCGATTAGCTTTTAATAGCTCCATTAAAGTAAATTGCTCATTTCAGATGCAAGCTGTTTTCCCACTATTAGAAATAGCCTGTATACTGCTAACTGCATTTTATTATCCATTCTATCTTAGAATTAAGTGTTTGTTTTAATAGTGCTTTTATAGCCAGTCCTGTCTAAGTAGTCAGGAACCTTCTTACTTACAAAAGTGAACTATGGTGGCTAGTGTAACAGTGACTGGACAAGTTTCTGACTTGAGGTATAGTTCCACTATTTAAAAGCTAAAAGACTCCTTTTCTTTCACTCTGACCATGAGTCTCTTCTCCTTATCCTAAATTTACTGCTCCACTCTTCAGTCATAGTTCTGAAAGCTGAATCAGAAACATGAGTAAACAGATGCTATTCAGTGGATGCCTAGAAAATATACAAATCACCTTGCCAATACCCTTTTTATCCTATTCCTCTCTCCTCTGCTTTCTTACATTTTGTCCACAGGGGTTCCATTTGCCATGCTATCATGGCAATTTGAAAAGGCTCATAGGACCTAATAAGGCTGGTTA